GACCGTTTCCGCGTCATTCACACCTCTGAAGAGTTTTTGTTCCATTATTCTCACAACAGTTTGTCACTTGAATGAAAAAGGAAAAGCGAACCATCACCTCAAAATATTAGGCTCATGGTATGTGAAGACGCTCGATAGCAACCCGTCTGTATATCGATTGTCCGCCGTAGTTTTAATATTGCCAAGCGGTGAATATCATCATATGGATCGTCTGCTCCTAGATTCGAACGCGAGAATATTGCTCTTTTTCAAGAGTACGGTAAATCACCAATTTATTCTCTAACCCGTTGTCACGTGACAAGAAACATTTTCAATTCAACCAGTAATTAGCATACAGTAAACCGTCACGTGTTGGTTGTCACATACTGAATGAATATATTTTACGTGATTCTACTTCGAATATCTCAGTCTCATTGTAACTTAAGATATATGTCATTACTGCTATTAAGTTACTAGACACATTACGTGTTTATTGAAAACAAGGGCTTATGCAAATTCCTTTTATTATATGTATTTTTGTAGTGCGCTATAAACGAAAAACCAGACTACCTGTAATAATAATAATAATAATAATAATAATAATAATAATAATAATAATAATTATTATTATTAGGCCTATTATTATCAATAATACACCTAATTTGGTTTATAATCATTATTGTTGTTATTACTATTATTATGGATAGTCATTATTATTATCATCATCATGGTCGTCATCATCGTCGTTATAGATACTGGGAATTATTATTAGGCCTATTATTATTATTATTATTATTATTATTATTATTATTATTATTATTATTATCATCATCATTATTAACATTGCAGACCAAGTATCCTAGGGAAATACATCTAGGCCTACTGTGTTACGCTTATGAATAAAACCTTAACTTGAATTGTATGTCCTACTGTATACAGAGACTGAATTTTGATATCAAAATAGATATACTGTATTTAGTAATCTGGAGGTTCTATTGTAAACATACACGTTGTTATTGTACAAATTATACACGTCATTCTATTAACATTATTGACAGACGCAATTTATTTTGTTGATCTATCAGGCTTAAGTGTTCAGGCAATTTGCATTATGTTAGCCGATTGACATCAGGCATAAAGGACGATAACTTGTGGTTAAAAACAGCATTTTCAAATAGGGAAATTTGACAGACATGGGCACCATAAACGTAACAACATGTGTGAATTATTTCAAATTTAAAGAAAATAAACAAAATAAACAACATAAACCCCTTTTAGAAGACTGTGCCCCGACACAGTCGGTGTCCGGCTAATGCTCAGTCCTTACTTGTTGCAAAGCCTGTTTTCCACAAAGTCGCTACACTGTCAGTCGCTGGTGTGCTTTCACTGCAATCGTTGCACTGCGTAGGCATAGCCGAGGTTACTGGGTAAACACAATTGAAGTGAAATATTTAAAGCTGGTTTCCATACAATCGCTACATGCTATCGATGACAACTTTCGGTGATGCTGATTATGGTCGGTCGAATCGGGGAGCCTTACCGATTGTGTGGGGGGACTGCTACGCACGCAGTAGGCCTACAACAATTGCACTGAAAACACTGTGCGACAGTGTAGCGATTGTCTGAAAACCAAGCTTTAATGATACTTATAATGTATTATCTTTCTGCAGCAAATTTTAACATGAAATAGAATTCAATTTTAATTATTTAAACAAAATTCTAAAGTGTCTAGGGATCCTCAGACAGGCCTTAACTCATAATGCCGTCGACCGAGGCTTTATCGGCCCCTTGGCGCGGACCCCTCTGTCGGACATGTTGGGCCCCCTGTCGGCAAGTATGGCGCCACTGCTTAGTTTCAGAATCGCTGATTTAGACCTATGCCAATATTTTAGCCATAAAGAGAAAGAGAGAGAGAGAGAGAGAGGTAAGAGGCAACCCATTGCGAAACATAAGTAAAAACAAACAACAAACAAACAAAACAGAATTTTGAAGCATTCAGAGAAGACAATTCATCATGTCAATATTATGGGTAACGATGTAATTATTGTAATGGCAACCAATAAGTCAACTATACACTATTAATCCGTATGTACTCGCGTGATGATCATTTTAACGCAATAATCCTACAAAACCCCATAGGCAAGGTTATAAGATGAGGTTATAGTGCACGCGTATACTCAGAGTTGGACCTACAGTATCCCGTTGGTTTAGGCCTAAGCTACACCGTCATTTACGCGCGTCAGTAAGTGCACGTGTTGACAAGACTAGTGATCCACAAGCCAATCGTACCGTACATTAGGATGTGAATAAAGGCGGGTCAGGAAAAATTAATTCAAACCTGAAAATGAATATGGCGTAAGGCAGTGAGAAATCCACTTTAAATACATCCCATAGGGGATATTAAACGTCTCGTTCATATTCATTATCGTAATGATCCGATCTAGAAGCACTGTCAAGAATATAACTTATTAACGTGGATGCTCCTTCCGAATACGTCACAATCTAAAATGAAATAACAAAGCACAGTCACTTTAAAGGTATACCGGTACTGCCACGTACAGCTAATAAAGTTGGAAATTAAAAAAAAAAATACTTTGGCCTAATTCGCATATTGGTTTTTCACTGAAAATTAAAACGAGAAAATATAAAATCCTCACCAAAAAAACGTATGTTTAAATAATAAGTGTAGTTGGCAACTTCATTGTTTGCCAATTAATTAAAATACGTTAGTAGTAAACATCTTTTTAAATCAATGAATCTGTATCCTACTGAAACGTAAATTGGTAATTCAAATTTATATGTATTAGTTTTTAATATTTTTCGGTTAGTGACAGTTTATGTTTAACGTATATAGTCTGAGGCACATCATCGGTAATTGTTATTTCATTTTAATTAAATTTATTTCAAAACACCCACAAAGATGAAGAAACATACATTTAAAATATCACAAAATATCAAAATACTGTAAAATTAAATCGAACATTATGTTAACGAACCTTCATCGATAAAATGCGTTATTCAGATATATTCGGGTCACTTAAAAGAGTGAACGACTGTAAATCCACTCGTAAGTTAATAATGAATACGTTGCTGAGATCTAAACTAATTCATCCATACTGAGACTTATAAAATAGTATATCAATGTCAACTTTAAGGATCAAGGGAAAATATTCTGGTTTGCTGTAAGGTTTATGGCTCAAAGGATGTCAAAATATGAATTTGAATTGATATTATTTTGAAAATATTGTAGGCGTAGTTGTTGTGATAGGGGCTTGAATATGTATTGATATTACTATTTGGCACACACAGAAAGTGTCCCTTTAGTAGGAGTATTGTCCTAATAATAGATCCCTCGTTTCACCGAAAAGTACCGTATTCCCTTAGCAAGGGCGGGATATATATCCTCAAATTACGGATGTCCTAAAGGAGAGGTTCTACTGCATATATAATATGAACTTTTTAAAATGCGACATTTCGCCTAAATAAATAAAATTGAGTTCAATGTGGCTATACGATTTATGTTACAGTGCCCTCTGGCGGTTTCTTGGGGACGTTTGGTAAAAACATCAGTGATGACTTGTATCTACCAGAATATATA